TTTGACACGACCACACAGTGTCTGCTACATCGGTCCGGCATGACCTTTTAAACTGTCCCGACATTGATTCCGGTTAGCCTTTTTAAGGGTCCGACAAGACTCTGTAAATTGTCCCAACATTGATTCCGGTTAGCTGCTACATCGGTCCGACATGACCCCGTAAACTGTCCCGACATTTATTACCGGTTAGCTTCTACAACAACGGCCTGACACGACCACACAGTGTTTGCTACATCGGTCCGGCATGACCTCGTAAACTGTCCTGCTACAACGGTCCGACATGACCCCGTAAACTATCTTCTACACCGGTCCGACATGACCCCATAAACTGTCTTCTACATCGGTCTGACACGACCACACAGTGTCTTCTACATCGGTCCGGCATGACCTCGTAAACTGTCCTGCTACAACGGTCCGACATGACCCCGTAAACTATCTTCTACACCGGTCCGACATGACCCCATAAACTGTCTTCTACATCGGTCTGACACGACCACACAGTGTCTTCTACATCGGTCCGGCATGACCTCGTAAACTGTCCTGCTACAACGGTCCGACATGACCCCGTAAACTATCTTCTACACCGGTCCGACATGACCCCATAAACTGTCTTCTACATCGGTCTGACACGACCACACAGTGTCTTCTACATCGGTCCGGCATGACCTCGTAAACTGTCCTGCTACAACGGTCCGACATGACCCCGTAAACTATCTTCTACACCGGTCCGACATGACCCCATAAACTGTCTTCTACATCGGTCTGACACGACCACACAGTGTCTTCTACATCGGTCCGGCATGACCTCGTAAACTGTCCTGCTACAACGGTCCGACATGACCCCGTAAACTATCTTCTACACCGGTCCGACATGACCCCATAAACTGTCTTCTACATCGGTCTGACACGACCACACAGTGTCTTCTACATCGGTCCGGCATGACCTCGTAAACTGTCCTGCTACAACGGTCCGACATGACCCCGTAAACTATCTTCTACACCGGTCCGACATGACCCCATAAACTGTCTTCTACATCGGTCTGACACGACCACACAGTGTCTTCTACATCGGTCCGGCATGACCTCGTAAACTGTCCTGCTACAACGGTCCGACATGACCCCGTAAACTATCTTCTACACCGGTCCGACATGACCCCATAAACTGTCTTCTACATCGGTCTGACACGACCACACAGTGTCTTCTACATCGGTCCGGCATGACCTCGTAAACTGTCCTGCTACAACGGTCCGACATGACCCCGTAAACTGTCTTCTACGCCGGTCCGACATGACCCCATAAACTGTCTTGCTACAACGGTCTGACACAACCATACAGTGTCTCCTATCCACTTTTATTTGTCAGTTTATTTTTGTTTTGTTTTGTTACTTTCTCCAAACTCAAGTTGGTTAGTTCCTATCCCCCTTGAGTTTGCGGGGGGCTGTTAAAACCTACACCTACTACACCCAACCTACACCTACTACACCCACTACCACCTACCACACACACTCACCTACTTCACCTACTCCCCACCTACTCCTCACCTACTCCCAAATCCTCTCCTATATAATAGGAATCCTTGTATTTGTAATATATATAATACAGATATATCAATCAATAATACAATTCTCTATTTCTCTTTATACATTAAATTTTCTACAGCATGCATTTTTTAGTGTCACAGTTATTGAGGTTTGTTGCATTTCATTACGCAATTCACAAAGTCTTTCCCCCAGCTTTTTTGGGGTTGGATACATTATTCCTGTTTCTCTTTGCCGTTCTATCTAGGGCCATATTTTAGTGTAGCCATACAGCACCATGTCTTTTGTCACTACCTTAATTTTTTTAGATATTGTTCACTGCCTCCTCTTTTGGACATTCGGACTGTCTAATCTAGTCATTCTCAACTGGTGGTTTGGTACACGAACAAACTTTCTTGGTCAAAATTTTCTCTTATTGTTAAATCAACCATTTTGACATATATAATTTATCTTCATGGTATTCTCTTATAATTCATCTGCATTGTTGATGCTTGTTGATATTATTCTTAACCATTACATCCTCATTTCAAGGGTCTCTTTAAGATAAATTTGTTGCTAACAGGAATCTACTTGGTTATCTCCAACTGTCTAGTAAAGAATGGAAAGATACTCATATTGCAAGTAGATGCTTTATCATAAGCCCTTTGGGGTGTCTGGAGGAAGAGGGTTTGAAATCAGCATATGAGATCCTTGGTGCTGGTGCAGTTGCTTGTTATACCACACAAAACTACAAGACGAAATTTTCCTTCCCAACCTGTGAATGCCAGTGCTTGCATGGAACAAGAGCAATCCGACAACTACAAAAGTATTGTTGTTTTATTCCCTTGTGACTTTAAGATTCTTTTTTTCCTTCTATTTCTTTCTTTTAATGAAAAGTATAATTGTATCTCATTATTAAAAAAAAAAAATAGCTACTTTGAGCCATTGACCCTTGTGGTTCATGTAGAGTTTTTTATTCTTTATTTTTTTTATGTGGTTTTTGAAACTATGTGCATTTAATATGATGAGTTAAATTGCTTTGTTTTGCAACTTTGAATATCTCCTTTTCTCTTGAAGAAAGTTGCTTGTTGGTTATTTCCAATTTCTTTGAATTTTTAATTTCCTTAAAGAGATTTCATTGCTTCAAAGTTTTATGAACAATTCTGGATATCTCAGTTATCTCTGTTTCCTAAAGATGAGATTATTGATTGCAGGCTGTTACATCAAGAACCATGGAATCATAATGCCCGCTACTTGCTTATAATTAATTATCTACAGAAGGCTCGTGAGGAGAGATTTCCTCAATATCAATGTGATCTACTTGGGAGGTTAATTAATGTGGCTCTTTCCTGTCAATTGTACTCAAAGAAAGATAAGTCTTCTCAATATCATATGTCCCAGCTTCTACTTTGTGCCTCAGAGATAAGTTTGCAAGGTGGAGACCACATCGGCTGTATCAACTATGCAAAAAATGCTACGGGGCTTTTGCTTTCCGATAATTATCTCTTTTTTTCACACTTGCAATTATGTCGTGCCTATGCTGCAGAAGGGAAACTTTCAAGCTTACATGAAGAGTATATAAGATGCTTGGAGCTCAAAACAGATTATCCTATCGGTTGGATTTGCCTTAAATTTATTGAATCTCAATATGGACTACAGGCTGAGTTAAATCTATTAGAGTTGTGCTTTGAGAATTGCTCAAAGGAGATAAAAAGTTCATTGAATGTGTGGATGGCTGTATTTAGTTTGGCACAGGGTCTGATTGCTATTTGGACCAAGGATTTCCTTCGTGCAGAAGAGTTGCTTGCACAGGCATGTTCATTAGCTGGTGCTGAGAGCTGCCTCTTTTTCTGTCATGGTACTTTCTAGTATATCTTCTTATTAAACAATTGTGGATTTTTAGTATTCTCTACAGTTGCATGTTGTGCACTTGTGCGAATGATTCTCTTTATGTTAGTATTTGTTTGATTATTAAAAGAATGAGTCAGGAAGAAGAGAGGGCAGTACAAAATCCTATTATTATTATTTTTTTGAAGCAAGGTTTTCTTTTCACTCTTTTTCTTTAAACAGAAAAATAAAATAAAATAAAGCAAACAAATTTAGTGCCTCTGTTATGTTATTATGATAACAGCAGCCAGTGCATTCTCGTCAAATACTAGCACATGGTTATGTAATAATGATAAAAATTAAGTTTAATGGAGAGTATTTAACTGCATTTTCATGAAGCCAGGGGCTAGAGCAAGGCTTCGTGCTGCTGTCTCTGTTACATTTTTTTTTGGGACCCAAAACAACTTGTTTATCATCTAAATAACTGCTGATGGAACCCTCAATGTGTTTGGATTTTGAGAAATTTTATATAGAAGTAGGTCAGGTTACATCTACTTTTACCTTTATTTTTTTTAATTTTTATTGTGATAAAAAGCGAAAGAGTTGCAGATAGAGTTTGGTTCTTGTTTTATACTGTGTGTGGACCTGGCCCACTTGATAATTGTCTTTAACTGGTTCAGGTGTCATTTGTATGGAGCTCGCTAGACAGCTTTGTGATTCGCAGTTTGTATCCCTTGCCATTAGAAGTCTGAAGAAGGCTAAAGAGACATCTGTCGTCGCCTTACCCATTGTCTCATTATTGCTGGGTCAAGCAGAAGCAAGCCTGGGCTCTAAAGTGAAATGGGAGAAAAACCTTCGTCTTGAATGGTTTTCTTGGCCACGAGGTCTGTTTTCATTTGACCAATGTGTATGTATGCTTATATATACATGTGGTGCACTTATTTATTATTTGGTGAGCTGTGATTGAGAATGCGTTGTAAAATGTTATCATAGGGTTGTTGTATCCTTCTGAGTGGAAAAGATCATGACCCATGAATATCTAGCTGATAGATTAAACCACCATGAACAATATAGTCAGAGTGAAACTCATGACCAATCAACTTTCTAGTTGATAGAATTACTTTCTTAGCCATCAACAAATAATGACCTCTATTTTACTATCTGAGAAATGTATTATTTGTAAGAGTGGTTGGTTCCATTCCTCTCACCATTTTCATTTGTAATTTGTCGTCCATTGTGTTACCCAAAGTGGACTGGATGGTTAAACAGCCCCTTGCTTATATGCTTTGGCAACTACTTCTGTCAACAGTTTAGGTTTTTTTTTTTTTTCTTTTCTTTTTTCTTTTTTCCTTTTTCCCCCCTTCGTTGGCGTCAGCAGGTCTGTATGTAAAGTGTTTCAACGGACACTCATCATTGATTATGGCCTGGGGTTCCAATGTATCAGTGTTAGTAAGGGTTGTGAATGTTTCTTGCATCTCTTTTCCATGTTTAATCAAATGCTAGATATTGAGCTATGCTTTGTAGGCACACATGCCGCCTAAAATGCATCAAGTGTAGCTAGGGTGGAAAGGGGTTGCTGGCGGCATGGAGCCATACCCTCTCCTATTTATGCAACTATATGGAATGCTATGTGAATGCTTGATGGATACTGATCTGACTTCCTATTTTGTGGTTGGTTACTTCATTTTCTGACTTCCATTATGTTTCTTACAGAGATGAGGCCTGCAGAACTCTTTATGCAAATGCATTTGCTTTCAATGCAGGGAAGTGTTAGTTCTGACTCTTCATCCAGTGTGGAGTTCTGTCAAAGCCCTCAGAGCTGGATTCTTCGGGCAATACATTTGAACCCTTCTTGTTTGAGATATCGGAAGGTTCTGCAGAAGTTTATGGGAGTGACTTCAGGTATGTAAATTTAGAGGAAGGGGTGGGTGTTCTATATATTTGAACCACCACCTATGGAGTCGCTCAAAATAGTTGAACGAGTGACTTATTCTCAGGTGCCAATAGGCATTTTGTCTCTCCATATGTATCTGTAAATTATATAATCATGTTGTTCCCTGTTTATATATGACATAATGATATTAATATTGTATCCCTACGCTACAACTTATAAAGAAAAATCATATCAATATTGTAGCTGGGGGTCAGCTGAATAGTAGGTTTTAGGCTTTGAGAAAAATGTGATTTATTTATAGCATCAAATAAAAATGATTCAGGATTTATAGCAGACTGCAGTAGTGTGATTATGTGACTGCTGGTGAGGCGATAATATATGCTATCAGACTGACATGGATAAAAATCCTTGGATACTTGCTTTACTTCTTGTTCATCGTTCTAATACCATCTGGGATTGTGAATTTGAGATTCACTCGTCCTACTAGAAGCTCTCAATAATTTAAATTTTGGAGTCCCAAACTAGGTTCCAAATAGTTCAGTTCCCATATGACACATTAATGTGTACTAATTGGGCGTTGTTTTTATAGTTCAGTTCCCATATGCAAGCCATTTTCTGGATCTCTTTCGCATGGTTGGCCTTGCTGATTTGAGATGACTTGTTTATGCATAGGCCGTGAAATACAGGACAGGCATGTGAAAAGAGATTGTCATGGAGCATTTGTTGACAATGCTCTTAGATGTTTAATATGCTGATGATCTCAGAATCTTCCCTTGGTTACCGTAGCTGTGTGCTTGTATTGTAAGTATAGATCTAGAAATTTTTGTAGTGTGTACTCGTGAATCATGGTAGAGCGTCAACTGGTATGGAAGCAAATTGATCTAAATCTCATGTTACAGGCGAGTGAAAGATGTGATTTTAGTGTCTACCAAACCTGAAGTTTCAATTAGCAGATGTGTAGTTTCAAACGGAAATGGCAGCTGGTTGATTAGTTGACCAGATTCCTTGCCATTTATGCGTGAAGGTTAGATAAGACTTGACATCTCCAACAGGAACAGCACACTTGAAAGAGAAGACTCGCGATCAAAGCAACATTGCGTCCCCCCTTTTCTTGTGATATATCCCGATATTATTAGTATAGTGATGAGTTAGTTAACAAGTGATAGGCAGACTAAAGGGTTAAAAGCACACCATTGTCACTCCCAATCCAATCTGGAACATGAGGGGAGCAGGTTAGAGAGAATTTTTAGGCAATCAAAGGAGTTATTATAATCTTTTCAATGCATGTCCAGCTTATTGGTACAATGAGGGCATCAATCATTACATGGTAGGTAGTTTTGTATAGTATTGGGGTGAGAAGGGTTTGTATAGTTTTGCTCTCCCCCCACAAAAATCTTCACCCTCACGTAAAGAAGGTGCATATCTCTGTATGTTCTGTTTTGTTCACCTACGTTAAAAATAAAAAATAAAAAAATCTAAGAAAAGAAGAGGATATTATGCCTGATATAAATGAAAAATAGAGTTATCAGGTGTCAGACACGTGCAAAACTCGGGGTTTTTCCCAATATAAGCCATTTTTGTATTGTATTTCCAAAACTAGGCCAACTTCTGACGGAATTTCAAAACTAAGTTAAAGCGCCATTACTATTCGCGCTTTTACTGTTAGGAGCGCAAAAGTAGGTGAACAGGAAAATCGCTATTACAAATAGCGACTTTGATTAATAAGTCGCTGTTACGAATAGCGCTTATAGTGTTATTCTTTTTCCCAATAAAAAACGCTGTTCTTAACAGCGCTTTTCACACAAAATTTTGTTGCCAAAAAAACGCTATTGATAATAGCGATTTTAACAAAAAAAAAATTCTCAAAAAAACGCTATTTATAATAGCGATTTTAACAAAAAAAATTTTGCAGAAAAAACGCTATTCATAATAGCGATTTCAGTTCAAATTTTGTTCCAAAAAAACGCTATTTCTAATAGCGATTTTAACAAAAAAAAATTATATATATATATATATATATATGGGATCCTTTAATTTGAAGAACAACACAGCTTGATGATGCGTATGTATATTTGTTAGTAGTTACTAGTTGGTTATATTTGATTGATAATTTCAGCATTCTTTTGTGTTTGGTGGGAGTACAAACCAAGAGTGATAGAGCATCAGTAGTTGGGGATGCTATTGAATACATCAAAGAGCTATTGAGAACAGTCAATGAGCTGAAAATCCTTGGGAAGAAGAAGCGGTGTGGCAGAGAGAGAAGCAAGAGGCACAAGACAGATGATGGAAGTGCCACCAGTGATGTAGAGTGCTCCAACATCAAGCCTGACCTCAAGCAATCCTATAATGGATCAACATTGAGGAGTTCGTGGCTTCAGAGAAAATCTAAAGACACTGAGGTTGATGTTCGTATCATTGATGACGAAGTAACCATCAAACTTGGTCAGCGCAAGAAAATCACTTGCCTATTGCTTGTGTCCAAGGTCCTAGATGTGCTTCAGCTTGATGTCTAACATGTTTCGGGGTTTTTTTTTTTTTTTTTTGTTTTTGTTTTTGTTTTTTTTGTTTTTGTTTTTGTTTTTTTTTTTAAATCGTCCTTTTGCCTTGGGTAAGATATTATAATAAAATATATATATTAGTATTGAGGGAATGATGAGGATAATGTGGTGTGGTGGGTGGAGGATGAATCATTTATTTTAAAAAGAGAGTTGATGGGAAGGAAAAGACAATGATTATGAAAAAGGAGAGAGTGGGAGTGGGAGTGGGGAACATGGACGGGAGGGTATGAGATAAAGTAAAATAAATAAATAAAAGAAAAAGTGTGCTAATGGTGTGAAAGAGTGCTAGTGGTAGATTTGTGAAAAGTGGCTGCCTAATGAATGGTCTTTCCCTCTCTCTTCACATGGGTTTCCTTTCTTTTAAATATGTGTGACAAAACGATACTGCTGAGATCAATTGCTGAAAGTATTTTTTTTTGGCTAGGTCTTCTTTGAGGCGCCCCTTGGCGACCTTGTTGAAGAGCTCACCGCCTCTAACGTACTCCATGACGAAGTAGATTTTGGATTTTGTGGCCATGACTTCGAAAAGTTGGACAATGTTTGGGTGTCGAACGCGACGGAGAATCGAGATCTCGCGCTTGATGTGAGCGATTAAGCCACCTTTGAGGATTTTCTCTTTGTCGATGACTTTGATCGCCACACTCTCGCCTGTTTGGATGTTTCGGGCATGGTAGACCGTCGCGAAGGTTCCATGTCCGAGGAGTTTTCCGACCTCGTATCGGCCGTGGGGCTGGTGGTCAGATCGATTGGAATCGGATCGGGTCATGGGTTGTACGACCCAGGTGTGGTTGGAAGTGAAGATGGATTCGAAGGGGCTAATGAGATTCAGAGCCGACAGCGATTCGGAGATCACGAAGGGGTTCTGTTCGTGCTTGATTTGAAGTAGGAGGAGAAGCTGTAGGAGTAGGAGGTATGTGTAAGTGATATGTGTTGAAAAACTCTCGCGGGCAGCGAAGGCAAGGTTGTCGGCCGGCTGCCCGCCGGAAAGAAAGGAGTATAGGCCTAAATCTTATGGCTCTGATACCATGTAAAATATATTGATAGAGAAAAATTATATGTATTATTGATTGATTTGATATATATTTTGTATATTACAAGCTATTATATAGGAGAGGATTTGGGAGTATGTGAGGTAGGTGAGTGGTGGTAGGTGGAGTGGGTGGTAGTGGAGGTGGTAGGTGGAATGGGTGGTAGTGGTAATTTGTATTTACAATTTACATTAACAGGTACATATCTCTGTATGTTCTGTTTTGTTCACCTACGTTAAAAATAAAAAATAAAAAAATCTAAGAAAAGAAGAGGATATTATGCCTGATATAAATGAAAAATAGAGTTATCAGGTGTCAGACACGTGCAAAACTCCTGTTGGTATTTTGCCCTTGTGTTGACTTGAACACCAAATATTTGCTTTGAGTAGACCCTAAAAACATGTCACAAAAAGCATTGGAACCAGAAAATGATTGGTCAAACATTATCCTCGTTTTTTTGTTTTTGTTTTTGATTTTGTTCATGTTCTAAACTTGCAACACTTCCAACTAGGAGTGCTCACCGGATATTTCAATTTGTTTAAAATAATTGAATCGAATCGATTCATCACATTTTAGATAGATGCGTGATGATGAACGAATAGTTGTGGATTGATTTTTTTCAATCCGTCTAATTTTTGACAAATGGCGGATTTCAGGTTCTTTTGGCCTAATTGAATCGCCAAACCGCAAGCATTTCTAGTAATATTTAAGACTTTATGTTTTTAATTTGTTTAAATATTCTGTTTGTGTTTTCAATGAAAAAGAATTTAGATATTCTGTTTTATTTTCAATTTGTTTTCAATTTGGAAATCTTTTTATCAAATGGCAAGCATTGATATTTGATATTTTTGTGAAGAAAATATAAGGTTTAATTTTGTCATTTAAAAAAAATCAAATTAAATAGTTTTTAAATAAAAAAAAAGTAATGAAATAGTTTTGATAATGCATGGTTTTCTTATATGTATTTATTATTGGTAATTGAAAATTTACTTGATAATCTTTTAATTATGTTGAGTTGGATTGTTATCCAAAAAACAAATGTTGACACGTTGTATTATGTTCAAAATTTGTAAAAGTTTAAACTCTTAAACCGATTTGTATCCATCCATCAATCTACTTAATTCGTATCCACCAATTCGGTAGACGGATGTCGATTGGTTTTTTTCAATCTGCTAATTCGATGGATGGATGGCGGATTGGAGGTTCCCGGCCGCAACTGAATTACGAGCACCCCTATTTCCAACCATTAGATTAGATTATATGAAATTTTTTGAGACATAATTAAAAAAAATTGTAAATATATTAAAACAAAAGAATAATAGAAGGATATGAATAAAGAATATTGTTCAAAAAAGAATACTAAGGTTTCGTTTGGCAAGTGTCCTTTTTAGTTAAAAAATTAAAAAGTCAAAAAGTTACTAAAAAAACTAAAAAACTAATAAATTATCTTAAAAAGTCAAAAATTCTCTTTTCTCTCTACTTTTTACACATTTTTCGTAAAAAGTCAAAAAGTCATCCCAAATATACTAATTGTTTTTACACCATCATTTAACTAAAAAATTAAAAAGTTACTAAAAAAATTTACCCCAAACAGGACCTAATTGACAAGAAAATGGCAAACCACAACCACTTTGTTTATTTATTTAGAAAATTACTTATCAGTTCTAATTGAGTATTCTTAATTCACCTCCAATGACCATGTGAAAGGACGAGTTCATGCTCTACATCCTTTCTCTCTCTATCTCTT